ACAATCTTCTCTTTTCATTCTCCTAGTCTCAAACCCATGTTATTTAGTCATTTAATCCTCACATTATCTCTATTTGACAAGTGCAGAAACTGAGGCTCAAGACCAAACGGCTAATAAGTGGATAATCAGGAATTCCGGAAAAGAATTTTCAGATATGGAAGAGGTAAAGATAGTAAACTCTTGCACTTATCCTGAGAGGAGGTGGCTATGACAGAAGGTTCTTAGGAGGTACCTAAAAATAACTAAGACTGATAATGGGATTTTTAAGAAACTCTTGCTATTAACAAGGCAAAACCAAACACAAACTGTAACCCAAAAGCCAGTAATGCCAGGTAGCTATTATCAATACTGCCCTCCAAGAGGCAGTGCAATTATCAGGAATTCCGGAAAAGAATTTTCAGATATGGAAGAGGTAAAGATAGTAAACTCTTGCACTTATCCTGAGAGGAGGTGGCTATGACAGAAGGTTCTTAGGAGGTACCTAAAAATAACTAAGACTGATAATGGAAAAAAAAAAAAAAAAAAAAAAAACAAGGCAAAACCAAACACAAACTGTAACCCAAAAGCCAGTAATGCCAGGTAGCTATTATCAATACTGCCCTCCAAGAGGCAGTGCAATTATTTTTTTTTGTATTTATTGTATTTTATTTCAATCGATTTAAAACTTATACCTAACCTTATTTTTCGAAAACTTTTAGCTTAACTTGTATATGTAAATTTACTTTTTCTGCTGTAAATTTTATGAAAGCTAAATACAGACCAAATATTTCCAATGAAAATTTAGCACATTTTTTTCTTTCAGTTTCAGCAAATTATTAAGTCTGACAAAGCAGGACTTTGTCTCTGAAAACATTCATACTCTTGCACACCAGTCCTTACCTCCCCAATTCCAAAATGATGTATTACTTTATCCTGGTAGAAAACACAGTACTGTTTTGGTCAAAATAATCATTTTTTAGACTAAGAAACTTGAGGGCAGCCCTGGCCAGTGTGTCTGTTGGTTAAGGACTGTCCATGCACCAAAAGGTCACTGGTTAGATTCCCAGTCAGGGCGCATGCCCAAGTTTCGGGCTTGATCCCCAGTAGGGGGAAGGAGGGGCCGGAGGCAGTCGATTGATGTTTCTCTCACACATAGATGCTTCTCTCTCTCTCTCTAAAAAATCAATAAAACATTTTTTTAAAAAGAAAGAAACGTCGCCGAAACCGGTTTGGCTCAGTGGATAGAGCGTCGGCCTGCGGACTGAAAGGTCCCAGGTTCGATTCCGGTCAAGGGCATGTACCTGGGTTGTGGGCACATCCCCAGTGGGGGATGTGGAGGAGGCAGCTGATCGATGTTTCTCTCTCATCGATGTTTCTAACTCTCTATCCCTCTCCCTTCCTCTCTGTAAAAAATCAATAAAATATATTAAAAAAAAAAAAAAAAAAAAAAAAAAAAAAAAAAAGAAAGAAACGTAAGGGCAGGAACACCATCTTATTCATACAGATCTTCCTCTCCTTATCCCTCTATGTGGGCTCAATCTCCTGTGGAGGGCAAGCAGGAGGCAGCCAATCGATGATGTTTCTCTCTCATCGATGTCTCTCTCTCTCTTCTTCTCCTTTCTTCTCTCTCTAAAAAAATCAATTAGAATGTATTTTTAAAAAGAGCAAAGGAGGAAGAACATTTAGAAACTATTCTAATAGTAGCAGAGGAAGTAGTGTGAAGTGTTCAAATCCTGAATGTATTATTTCAAGGTACAGCTGACAGGACCTGCTGGTGTACTGTCATACATTCAATACAACTGAAACTGAGATGGGAATGAATTGCCAGAGATAGAGGTTTGAGAGGAGAAGTTCCAGAGTCCATTTTTTAAATATGTTAAGTTCAAGAAGCTATCAGATACCCAAGTGGAGGTATCCAGTAGGTACGAGGATATAAAAGCCTTGAGTTCAGGGGAAGACATTCAAGCTAGTAACATACACTTGAGAATTGTCAGGGTATAAATAGTATTTAGTCTTGAAATAAAGCACCTAGGAAATGAGCATAGACAGAGAAGGAATCCAAGGACTGATCTGAGGACTCCATCATTGGAGGCTGAAGAGTGAAGGGTGGGGGGTGGAGAGGGAGGTTGAAAAGGAGGAAGGAAGGAGGAGAACCATGGAGTGGCATCCTGGAAGCCAAGTGAAACTAGTGTGCAAGGAGGGAGTGTCAAATGCTACTCAGAGGTCAAGAAAGAAGACAGCCCTGACCAGTTTGGTTAAGTGGATAGAGCGTCAGCCTGCGGACTGAAGGGTCCCAGGTTTGATTCCGGTCAAGGGCATGTACCTTGGTTGCGGGCACATCCCCAGTAGGGGGCGTGCAAGAGGCAGCTGATCGATGTTTCTCTCTCATCGATGTTTCTAACTCTCTATCACTCTCCTTCTCCCTCCCTCTCTGTAAAAAATCAATAAAATATTTTAAAAAAAGAAAAAAAAGAAAGAAGACAACTGAGAAATGATGACTGAATGATCTATGTGTTATTTTCTAAGCATGTTCTTCCCTACTACACAATATCACTTATCTTTTAATCCAAGGAAAATCCCAGTATTAGCCTATGAATACACATAAGGTTTCTGTTTAATGCAAATATATCCGTGTCTCATTAAAAAAAAATCAATGCTCTTAATCTGGACACAACATATTTTACAGTGAATAATGTTGAACAAATGCTTTGTCTGGTTCAAGTAATTGTCTCTCTGAAACAAGGTCCCCAACTACATCTTGCTTGTGCTCAGGAGGCGAAATCAGAAAATTCAGCTATTTAAAAGTATTTATTTTGTTCTGCCACAAAGTAGCAATTACTCTTCAACTCATTTCCCTGTTCTTTAATTCAAACATCCTAGCCAAGACCCTAAATTTCCACATACTCCTTTAAAAACAAAGCAGAACACAATCAAATTCAAAACTTGGATGAGAAAGAGATATGTTGTGCTCTCACCTTCTTTCTTTTGGTGCACAGAAGGTTAACAATCATTTGCTAACTCAAAAGCTGTGATTTATTTATATTTTGTCCTTACACTAAGATAGGAAATAAAATTTCTGTGTCTTAATCTTAAAAAAAGAATTACTGCTACAAAATAAGGACTTTAACTCTGTGCTCTACCAAGTAAAGTCTCAATAATCTACATTTCTGAAGCAGAACAATCATCACCAATAACTCGATCATGCAAACATCGTTCATGCCTTCCTAAAATGGCTATAACTTCTGAAGGAACTCTGCCTGTAATACCCTTCCCTGCCCTCCACCTTGCAATTTGCCAACTTGGGACTCAGACTGAATGTTAACTTCTCTAGGCAGCCTAGATCCCTGGGTCCCCTCCAAAACTGCATCAAGGTTCCTCGCTGAGCCCATAGCACCCTCTGCTTACTCATATCCTAACACTTTAACACTCTGAACTGTAAATCTCCTGACTAGTCTATCTCCCTCTCCAGACCATAAACATCTTGAAGGCAAGGACAGGATCTCATTCATTTGAATATCCTTAGTGTTGGGGATATATCAAACAATCAGTGTTTATTGAATGAATAAAATGAAATTTGACCTGGAATACCTTATGTGATTTTGTAGCACATTTTCCCTTAATAAACTAATTGAACTGATGCTGATATTAAAATTACTGGCACCTAATCACATCCCCAGCTGATAGCAAAAACAAAAATATTTTCCCCACCTGATACTAGAAATAAAAAATTAAAAGAGATTTGCTGCTCAAGATCAGCTCAAGGAGGAGTTATTATACCAGCTGCTCTTCCTGGTTCAAGACAGCAGCCTATGCTTCCTACAATACAGGAGGGGCTAATGGATCTCTGGATTGTTCTTGTCACCTCCCTCCCACCAATCCTGTATTCTCCTCTTTTCTGCCCTATTATTTTCTCTTTCCTTTTCTTACCTTCCTTTCCTTTCTCACTTTTGATACTTAGCATTTGCTAATTATCTGTTCTCATTTCCCCTTTAACTTTTTTCTGTACTCCCTTCTCCATGCCTTATTTCAGAGTGACCCTGGAGGATCCATGGGCATTGCTTTGCCCAACTGGGAGAACTTAGGCCAAGCATGTTGCTGTATCTCCTCGTCACTTCTGTAAGGCACACCAACATATTTCTTCTGTTTATGAGGAAACAAGTTACCGACCCTATAACAGCAATGCAGGGTCACCAGCAAATAAAGTCAAATTGTTACTATCCACACAAAGTGGGAATGACATTTCTAGGCTGCACTCTGAAAGTAATGAGAGAAAAGGACTCTTAATTTACTATAATTTTAAATAAAAGAGAAATGGGAAGCTAAGTGTGAAAAGGGAAGAAAAAAAGAAACCATGTTTTTAAAAAAAAAAACATGCTGGTGTGTTGGTAGGGCAAATTGAAAAAGCTGCAGTATACTTACTGGGCCAGGTAGTTCAGGAAAAAAATGTAATCCCTGCCCCCTGGGAATCCAAGAGTCTTACTGAGTAGGAATCATGCCCATCACTCCCCAAATCCATAAATGTAAACATTAGAAAATAAGAAGGAAGAGATTCTCTTAAACCAAAAGAGTCAGAAACCTAACATAAGTGGATTGGATGTTCTGAAACAGAAAAATAAAGACTGAATGGAAAGCTTTCCGAGTTTAAAATAGAGGTGTTCCATGTATCAAAGTCAGTGTCACAAACATGAGAAGCAAAGGAAAGGAACAATCCACAACTAGGAGTCGAGAGGCTCAGCTCAGGTCCTACTAAGCTGTGTAAACTTGAGCAGGTCACTTCACTACTCTGATCCAGAAATGGATCTTCCATAAAATAGGTAGAATAATATCTTTCTGGAAACATTGCCTGTGATGATTAAATAAATAATGTGATATCACTTTGAAAGGTTTTGTTTAATAATAAGTCAATGTGAGGTAAGAGGAAGCAAAAATCCTTCCTCTGAATGGAGTATAAATCCTGTGGTTCAATTTCCAGAGTCTAAGCCTGATTCACCTGCCCAGCCTCGTTAAACCCCTTAACCAACCTGCAGTCACTCAAGTGGGAGGAAAAGAATCCTGTGTGAGGCTCCAGAGGTGGGGTGGTGACTGTTTAGTCAGTTGCTCCATTATCTCAGTGGCTTCATCTGTAAAATGGGTGGTGTCTGAAGAAGTGAATAGTCCAGCGCCCTTTTTGCCAGATCTCAGGATCACCAGAGGTACCTGTGGCCCGTACAACACATTATCAATACCAAAACATATTACAACTTAATAAACAGCCAAATGTAGGCTATTCTTGGGAGGAGGTATAAGACTCTGGAGGAAGTGGGCAGATTAAGAACTAGTAAAGTGAGGAGGTAGATAGAGTCCTGAAGGTAAGAAATTAAGAGAATATTTCAAGCATAAAAAGACTTAAGATAGGCAGTCTTGTGAATAAAGACCCAATGAATAAAATTTTCTTTAGGGAAAATAAATAGGTGGCAGATGCTTTGAATCATGATTAATTCTTGATTATATGTATTTTAGTCCTTTTGTTGTCTCTTAAGTTTTTAACATTTACTAATATTTTTAATTCCCTAATCAACTATCTCCCTACAACAGTGATGGCGAACCTATGACACGCGTGTCAGAGGTGACAAACGAACTCATTTTTTTGGTTGATTTTTCTTTGTTAAATGGCATTTAAATATATAAAATAAATATCAAAAATATAAATCTTTGTTTTACTATGGTTGCAAAGATCAAAAAATTTCTATATGTGACATGGTACCAGAGTTAAGTTAGGGTTTTTCAAAATGCTGACACGCCGAGCTCAAAAGGTTCGCCATCACTGCCCTACAAGATAAGGCCCTCTATAGAGAACACTTCTACTTTAGGAGTTACGTATTCAGGCTCTGGGCCCAGATTGCCTAGCTTGAAATCCTTGCTTTACTAGCTATGTGACCTTCTTAGACGAAATCCTTCAGCTCTCTGTACCTCTGTGAAAAGGAAGTAACATCACTCCCACCTCAGGATGGAACCCTGCTTAGGCACCTATTTGTTGCTGGGCCCACAAGCTATTTATTACATTGAACTCAGGAGGTTTTGTGGGAATTACATATGTACATTAATCATATTGGTAACACCTAATAACGGGTTTTTCATCACTTTAGTTTTGATGTGCCCCTATTTTTTTATTTTTAATCCTCACCTGAGGATATTTTTCCACTGATTTTTTAGAGAGAATGGGAGAGGGAAAGATAGAAAGAAATACTGATGTGAGAGAAACACGTTGATTGGTTGTCTCCTGCACTTGCCCTGACCAGGGCCCCGGCTGGGGAGGAGCCTGCAACCGAGGTACACGCCCTTGATTGGATTGAATCCGGGACCCTTCAGTCCCAAAGCTGACACTCTATCCACTGAGCCATACAGGCTAGGACTACTAGCATGTACCCCTATTTTTAACATAAAGGCAAAAATAAAAATCACCAGAGTAGCCCTGACCAGTGTGCTCAGTGGTTGGAGCATCAGCCTGAGCACCGAAGGGTTGTGGGTTGGCTCCCTGCCCTGATTGGGTGTGGGAGGCAATCAGTCAAAGTGTCTCTCACATGGATGTATCTCTCCCCCTTTCCCTCGCCCTCTCTCCCTCCCTCTGAAAATGCAATGGAAAAAATATCCTCTGGTGAGGGTTAACAAAACAAACAAAAATCACCAGGCAGTGTGGCTCAGTGGCTGAGCATCGACCCATGAACCAAGAGGTGACTGTTCAGACTCCAGTCAGGACACATGCCCGGGTTGACGGGCTTGGTCCCAGTACAGGGCATGCAGGAGGCAGCCGATAGATGATGTCTCTCTCCCTTCCCCTCTCTCTAAAAATCAGTAAAACATATTTTTAAAAAATTACCCGGATATATTGCATGTAGTAAAGGATAAGTACCATTTTACAAAAATGCTGTTTCTGTTATATACATGGTACATAGATGTCTGTCATTATGTAAAATGTATTCCTCACAGTGGTGTGCTTCTGAAAAGTGGGGACCTCTGAAATAACACACAATGAAGCTCTGGGTGCCGGGCACAGAGTGCGCCTGAGCGCTCTTCCCCTGTTGCTGCCGTGATGCACCCGCCCGAGCAGGTGTCTGCAGGGCTGTGCCGGGGCCATGGGAACGCGCTCCGCACCCCGGAGAGGCTGGCGACGGGCTGTGAGTGAATTAGGAAGCAGAGGCCCTGCGCTCCGTGTCGGACACCCACGCGCACAGCCTGCTGGGGCACAGGTGCTGCTGGGCCCACAGGTTATTTATGACCCTGCACTGAGGCGCCCACAGACTGCACTGTCTCTAACACTGTCATGCTCTGTCAATATTTGCGGAGAAATGGAGGCCTGGCGCCAGTGCACAACTGTCTGTCTTTACCTGGTGGGGTGGGGAAGGCGGAGTCACAGCCACTGGAGCTGAAGGAAGTGAGTGAGTCAGAGAGAAACTGCTGCTCCCTGGAGCCGGGCGGACGCCGAGGGCCCGGGTGAGGCCGGACTGACAGCTGCCGGGCCTCCGAGCGGCTGAGTCACTGCCCTCCCGTCCTCACCCGGTGCCTCGTCCAAACAACCCCGGAACCACGGGGACCCCCAAACGCGTGCAAACAGGGGGCAACTCCCCACCAAAAGGCCACCTGAGGGCATCCCTTTAAACGACAAGCCCACCTGGACGTTCAACTAGCGCTTAAATTCTAAAATTCTCACGTACAGAAAAACTTGGAGACGTGCTCACCCTTAAGGAAATAAGGAGGTCTGGGTTCCATCCTTGACACTGTGACCTTGAGTTAATCACGTCATCTCCCTGTGCCTAAGTGAATTCATCTGCTAAAAAAAAAAAGAGAGAGAGAACGATAATACCACCTACCTCGGAGGATCGCGGTAAAAATGAGATGTTTGCAGTAAAATGCCTCGCACAGGCCGAGCCCTGGTCCAGGCACAATAAATGCCCCTTGTACTAAGCGTGACCACCAGGGGCAAACTGAGGGTCACTGTCCGACTCGCCGGCGGGAAAAACCACCGGCCGCCGGTCGCCTCGGGGACACGGTGTTTCACGGACCGACGAGGCCATTCCCCGGTCTCCCCTCGGGGCGCGGGGCCGGGGGGCAGCCGTTCCCGCCCCGCTCCCTAAGGCAGCGACTCCCCAAGTGCTTTGTTACTGGGGTTCCCGTGGCCCATGGACCCAACCCCCACTGGGACTGAATTTAAACTGAGCGGCAGCCTCGGTTTCATGCCTACATTTTAGTTCCCATTCCCCGTTCCACATATCGAGAGAACGGCATTAAAGGTCGCCCCCCGCCCGCCCAGGTGCGGACCACCCTGTGGGGACGTCGGGGGGGGGTCAGAGGGCTCGCGGAGCGGGGCAGGCGCCACCACAGGCGCGGGGGATGGGAGGAGGGCGACGGGGGCGCGTTCGAGAGCTTTCGCGCGAACCCCAATTTCTCGTTGGCGACGAATCCGGACCACGTGCGGCCATTTTGTGTGGAGGAAAAATGGCGGCCACCCCCGGGGGATGGAGGGCGGGGGGGGGGGGCGCAGAGAGTCAGCCGTTAGCCGCCTAACCTGAGGGGCCCTGAGGCACTTTGCGCCAACAGCCTTTCCTGCCTGGCTTAGCTGAAGGGAAGGACCAGGGGCAGAAACCATGACGGGCGCCCCGCGGCCACAGCCGCCTTGCTTCGGCGGAAGGAACGTGCTGAAGCGCCTGCAGCAGGAAAAGCCGTCCAAGATGGCGGCCCGGCGGGGGCCGCCCCCGGAAAGCGCGGGGCGCGGCGGCTGCACCAAGCGGGGCAAGGGCGGCCTGGCCGCAGCGGGAGCCTGAGCCGGGCGGGGAAAGCCGCAGGAGCGCCCCCAAAGCACTGCGCGGCACCCCACGAGTAAATACGGCCCCGAAGAGGCACACCATTGTCTTAAACAGCTGAGGGGTCTGCCACAACTAAAGCGCCACCGGGGCGGGAGGTGGGGTTTCTGCGGGCTTAACCGAAAGAAACTTGCAAAATGCAAACAAAGCATTATGTAAATGGACGCCATGCTTTCAGGGCCACGTTTCTAGCACTTCCCAGAAACCACGAACAGCGCCGCAACTTGGGCGGCGGCCGGGGGTGGGTTTCGGTCTTTCTCCTCACCGGCCACAGGGCCGCGGCCTAGGCCGGGGTGGCGGCTGGCGCCCGGCGCCCAGACGCCGGGGACGAAGGAGTCCCACGTGCCCGCCCGCGCGCCCGCCCCAAGCCTCGCCTCGCCTCCCCCTCCCCC